CCCATCTCCTACAGCATCGTCTTCGTGGTGGGGCTGCCCCTCAACTCCTGGGCCCTGTGGATATTCATCTCCAGGATGAGGCCCTGGAATGCCACCACCACCTACATGGTGAACCTGGCTGTGTCTGACATGCTCTACGTCCTCTCCCTCCCCACCCTGGTCTATTATTACGCCGACCGTAACAACTGGCCCTTCGGGAATTGGCTCTGCAAGATCGTGCGGTTCCTGTTCTATGCCAACCTCTACAGCACCATCCTCTTCCTCACCTGCATCAGCGTCCACCGCTACATGGGCATCTGCCACCCCATCCGCTCCCTCAAGTGGGTGAAGACCAAGCACGCCCGCATCATCTGCGTGGGCGCCTGGCTCGTCGTCACCATCTGCCTCATCCCCAACCTCATCTTTGTCACCACCAGCTCCACGGGCAACACCACCCTGTGCCACGACACCACCAAGCCCGAGGAGTTCGACCATTACGTGCACTACAGCTCCTCTGTCATGGCCCTGCTCTTTGGGCTCCCCTTCCTGGTCATCGTCCTGTGCTACTGCCTCATGGCCAAGCAGCTCGGCAAGTCCAGCCTCTCCAGCCCCAGCCCGCGGATGCCCTCCTACAAGAAACGCTCCATCAAGATGATCATCATCGTGCTCGCCGTCTTTGCCATCTGCTTCGTGCCCTTCCACATCACCCGCACCCTCTACTACACCTCCCGCTACTTCCAAGCCGACTGCCGGACCCTCAACATCATCAACTTCACCTACAAGATCACGCGGCCCCTGGCCAGCATCAACAGCTGCCTCGACCCCATCCTGTACTTCCTGGCCGGGGACAAGTACCGGGGGCTGCGCCGGGGGGCCGCCCACCGGCTCCGGCCCGTGCCCACCTGCGACCTGGCCCTGGTGTCGCCCTACACGGACACCCTCACGGACAGCGGCCACGTGGCCAGTGTCACCCGAGGGACAGGGACAGCACGGAGCGGGGGCGGGTGCTGAGGGGCCCGAGGGGGTTCCATGACCTCATCTCTGGGCTCCATGTGGGCACCCCCAGGTCCCCAGACCTGCCCTGCCCCTGCCCAGCCCCTGCAGGGGCAGAGGCCACAGGGCTGAGGGCTGGAGGCCATGGGGCCAGTCCCAGCCCTGCCCTGGGATGCTCTGGGAGGAGAGTGCTGGTGCTCACTGGGGCAGGAGAGCACGCGTGGGAATGGGAAGGACACCGAGGAGGCTGTTTGGGGGAACCAGGCTGGTGTCCCATCCCAGGGCACTCCTGGGGACACAAGGGGGTGACAGGTCACTAAAGAGAAGGGACACTGGTCCCTCCCTGGGTAGGACAGCCCTTCCAGATGGCTCTGTGGTGATGTGTGGGCAACAGACTGAACAAGAGGACAGAGCCCACACTGGGGTCCCCCTGCCTGTTTGTCAGAGATATCTCTGTCACACCACTGGCCTTGGCAGAGGAGGAGAGATGTGACACGGGGCACCCACAGCACTTGCTGCCCGTCACCCCCCAGTAAAGCCCCTTCCCCTTTCCCTTTGCTCCTGCCTGTTTCTCCCTGTAGCAGAAGGAAGAGGAACGAGACACCCACCCTCACCCCAGAGAAAAGCCACCCTCCACCGTGACACCAGTGCCGGGGCAGGTCCGGAGCGGTGAGCTGGTGACACCCCTGGTGACGGGAACGTGCCTTTATGGGTGTTTGTTCCTCAAATGTTTACCCAGCCCTTTTGTTTGACCAAGTGCCTGCAGAGTGGAGCAGACCAAGATTGGTATCAGTGCTGTTGACTCTCCCATGCCAGCCTGGCAGGGATGGGACAGGGACAGGGCTGTCCCCATGGCCCCCCACAACTCCTGTCAGAACATGCCTTGGGAAGGGACACACCAAAAGCGTCATCAAGGTGTCACCTCTGCCATGGCACTGGTCACACAGGCCACACCCCACCAGGAGCTGCCCAGGGGAAGGAAAGGGCCCCAAGGATGGCACATCCCAGCCCTGTGTCCCCACCCCACCAGTAGTGGTGCCCAGAGAGCCCCTCACTCACCACTGAGCCGAGAGCAGAGCGAGCAGGAGATCCCCCTCCTGAGCCCAGCTAACCCAGTAAGAGCAGCTGCTGCCCCTCTCCTCCCATTATATCCAACATGGCTCAGGTGCACCCTGGAGCAGCTTGGTTGCACCTGAGCAGTGCAAGGGGCCCTGCCAAGTACAGCCCCAGCTGGAGATGGACCTCCCTGGGAGGGGACACAGTGAGTGGCAGGTCCACAGGTCTGTCCCAGTCCTGCCCATCCCGACCCCCAGAACACACACAGACAGGGGAGGGGAGTTGGAAACCTGTATTGGGGACAGAGGCACCTGAAAAGGCTCATCTGAGACCACGTGGTCCTGGCTGAGGCCAATTCCACAGGTCCCCAAGTCCAGGAGTGTTCCCCCTCGACCCCAGGGTGGGATGTCCCCCAAGGCTGGTCCCACGTGCCATCAGGATGCCACCCCAAAGACCCTATTTGATTTCTCCTCTCATGCCACCCCCTCCCTCAGCTCGTGGTGACCTGGTTATCTGGGGGGACTGTGCCCATCACTGGCCCTCAGCCTCACCCCAGCCCCTGCCAGGAGACAGCTGTGTCACCTGCAGCCCCTCCAAACCCCTTCCAAGTGGGACCCTTTCCCAATCTCCCCCTGGCTTCCTCCTCTCCTCCCATCTCCCACTCAGGTTTTTGGGCCAGAGGAGCGGAGGGCTGGGGTGGGGACCGTGCCCCGTGTGTCCCCCGTGCCGGGCCGGCTGAAATCCCCCCCCAGGAGCCCTGGTGAGCCGGGATGGGGCTGCCGGCGCCGGGGGCACTCAGAGGATGTGCAGCTCGTCCGTCTCCGACAGCCCGTACTTGGTCTTGTTGTCATTGAAGAGCTTGAGCAGGGCCTGGATGTACATCTCGTGGTACGTGTCCACCAGCTCCCGGCTCGGGTTCTGCACCTTGGGCACCGCCACCGGCTCCCCCACTGCCGGCAGGGGACAGGACGGGGTCAGACCCGTGGCCTGGGGACGCGCTCGGCTCACGGGGACACAGCCCGAGCGGTGCCTTCCAGCGGGGTGTCCCTGCTCTGCCCCACCCTCGGGGGTCCCCCCAGCCCAGCTACTCACCCACGGTGGTGATGGGTCTGGCGTAGGGCAGGAAGCCCCGGGAGCGGCTGGAGGTGAGGCCGCGGCCGTAGAAGACGCAGGGAGCGAAGCCAATCATCTTCTGGAAGCGCTGCTGGATGCTCCTCATCCAGCTGCCCTCCTCAAAGACCACCTGGCGGAACAGGTCGTTCTCCCCAAAGGAGAAGGAGGGGACGAGGAAGGCCCTGTGGAGGGGACACGGTGGGCAGTGACGGGGTGCCAGGACACCCAGTCCCCCGCGGGGGTGGCCGTGCCCGTGACCCCCCTGTGCCCACCCGTGACCCACCCGTGCTGCAGGGCCATGCGCACAAAGCCCTTGCGGTGGCGGAGGATGAGTGTGGTGATGCCGGGCCGGCAGGACAGCGACTCGGCCGCGCCGCCGATGACGATGGCCACCGCGTTGCCGGTGCCGTTCTGGGACAGCAGGTACCCGATGGCACGGCGGGTCACCGGGAACAGCCCTGCGGCAGGAACCGGCACCCGAGCTGTGGGACTGCCCGCCTGGGCAGCGCCCGGGGACGGGGACACCGCCGGGGACACCACGAGGGATCACACCGGGTGGGACCAGGGCAGGGACAGCGCAAGGGCACCCCCTGCTGCAGGCAGGGTGCAGGCAGGGTGCAGGTAAGGTGTGGGCAGGGTGCAGGCAGGGTGCAGGTGGGGTGTAGGTAAGGTATAGCAAGGCGGGAGGTGGGGTGATTTGTAGGTATAGGCAGGTGTGGAGGAGCAGCAGGCAAATGCAGGGCAGGGGTACACAGGCGGTGCAGTGTAGGGCAGGGTGCAGGCAGGGTGTATGTTGGGTGCAGGCAGGGTGCAGGCGAGGTGAAGGTGGAGCTCAGGCAGAGCTCCATCCCTGCCCTGCCTGCTCCTGGGAGCACCATCACTCCTGTGTTTCCCTCAGAGGGAGCAGGGACCCCCTGCCCGCGGGCACTGCCAGCAGGGCTGGGCAGGGGCTGCTCACCCCCACTCATCAGGTACTCCCGGAAAAGGGGCAGGCGGAAGTTGCCAGCCAGGGTGGTGAGGAAGGAGTGGATTCCCGGGAACATCTCCTCGAAGCCCGTGGAGCCCGTGATGAAGTTGCAGAAGGCGCCGACGCAGAGGATGCCGTGGGGGTGGGAGCCGATGATGTAGTTGTGGCTGGGGGACAGATCGTGTGTCTTCACCAGCTGTGGGGACAAAAGGGGTCACAGGGACATGGCACCTCCTTTTGGGTGGTGCCACCACCAGCACCTGCAGGAATATCCTGTCCTGGCACTGTACCTTGACTGGGAAATAATCCCGAAAGTGGTTCCACACAGTCCATCGTCGCAGGCATGGCAGCCTCCTGCCACCTGCAATCCAGGGAGGGACCACAGGAGATGACACCCACCCCCGTGGGCAGCGGGATCCATGGGAAACACTCCCCATGGACCCACTGCATCCCTGTTCCCACCACGGTGCTGATGGTGTGGGAGCAGAGGGAAGGAGCAGGTGGGACATGATCTCCCCATTTGCTGTGAGGGACCTGGAGGAAGGGGGGACCCCACCCCCCATCCTGCTGCAAAGTCAGAGGAAGGGGGATGTTCCCAACCCCACCTCTCTCTGGCGTGTCCCAGTCAAAGATGATCCAGGCCAGGTAGAGCACCGGGATGAGCCAGAAGCTGGTGAACAGCAGGTAGATGAGCACCACGAGGCTGACAGTTCCTGTGGGGGCCAGGCACGGGGTGAGCGGGTGTGTGCCCACCCCCAGGGCCCCCGCAGCCCCCTACTCACCCAGCAGCAGGAAGCTGAGCACCCACTGCAGGACGGCGAGGAGCTGGAGCGCAGAGCGAACGTCCCGCTGGGAGGGCCAGGGCACGGCCAGCAGCGTGCGCAGGGCAGCCTGGACACTGGCACGGCTCCCTGTGGAGGGGGGACACATGGCCCCAGCTCAAAACAGCACAGCTTGAACACAGCCTGGGCCACTGGGCTGGCAGGGGGCACCCAGGGGTGCCAGGGCTGGGTTATGGGGCGAGGCAGGAGGTGGGATGGGAAGGACGAGCAGTTGGGTGAGGAGGGATGGCATGTGGTGGGGTGGAATGGGGGATGCCATCTCCAGAGAGCTCTGGACCATGTCAGGATGTGGCCCTGGGTAACCAGGGTGCTCTGGGCACAGAGCAGGGGGAAGATTCCAGGGTGAGCCCCCCAACCCCAAACATTCCACGCACCAGCAGAGCAGAGCACAGTGGCATATCCTGCTCTGTGCCGACTTCCCAAGGGCTGGGACCTTTCCCATGCCCTCCTTGGAGCGCTCAGGCTCACAGAGGATTTGGGGATTTCTCAGCTGGCACAACAGGGAGGCACCACCCCCTAGCAGGTGCCAAGGACAGCGGCTGGGGCTGAGCTGGGGTGGACAAGGGTGGCCATTCCCCAGCTGTCCCTACAGCCCAGGACATGCTGGAGCTGCTGCTGCTCCGCTCCCCCATGGCCCCTTCCCTCTGGACGACCTTGGTGAACCATTAACCATCCTGGGCTGGGTGCCAGGATCCAAACTCCACACACGGCCCCATCCCTCCTCCCGAAATGGGCCCGAGGAGCCGGCTCTGCCAGCACCACTCCCGGACAAAGGTCCACCATGGCCGAGACCACCTGGCACAGCCACCACAGAGAGATACCCCTGACTGTCACCAGAGCCGGGTTTTCTTGGGAAAACAACTCAAAATCTGCATGTTGGCCAGAGGGATGCTCGGGGTGAGACGGGAGCAGCCCTGTCCCTGTGGCTCCCCAGACCAGGGACCCCCAGGTTAGAGGAGAACCACCAAACCTTGGTTCAGGAAGCTGGTGGAGGTTCAACTCTACCTGGCTCAACCCAAACCAGGAATGGGACAACTGAAATAAATGAAACACTGGACCATCTCCAGCATTGAG